CTTCTAGGCTCAGCTGGCCACAGGCTGGTGGCCTTGAATTCTGTGTGTATTTGATTGGCCCCAAGCCTTCAACACGATTCTAAACACTTGCTGCAAGTTTGGTGCCCTACGGAACTTAGCTACAATGGTGGTACCGCTGATGCGGTCACTATGGGGTTGAGGTGACAACATCATTGCAAACAAGAGGGTTTGACCCGCATAATTTCACTCGGCAAAACGGAGACCCGACTACACGAAGGCTTGATTGCAGCAGCGGCAAGCCCATTTATCAAAATGTTGAAAAGATGACTACCCAGAACAGCATTCCTCCACATCCCAAGTCTGAGTGGCTGAAGTTCCCGTCTCTCATGATGATGTTTCCAATCTCCCTCCTGCAGGGTTTGAGTGGTGTGCTGACCCGCGTGGCTGCTACCTGTTTTTCGCACTCCCTTGATGAACCTCTTGTCTATATACGTGTACTGAGTCCCCACTGTGCTAGCCCTAGATGTTGCTGTGTGTCTTTTTGCCTTCCTTGGCGTGGTATGCCATTTGGTAGCTGAACCAGGTGGCAGTTACACCTGCCCTAAACTGTTTGTGTATGAGCATGCTGTGCACTTTGTGGCGCGTTTCGTTGCTGGCTTCATTTCAGTGTCCCTGGCCTTTTTGCAAACCTTTTCATGACTATAGATTTTGCTCGGGCAGCTAGTTGAGAGAAGCGCCTCACCAGCAAAAACTGCCAAATTGATATGTATTTCGGTCAGTGAATTGGTTGGGTAGTTGTGAGCTTCAGACGTTGAACCCTTCTTCCGCGAATTTCGAACACCAGTACATTCATCGTCAATATAGCGCCCATGATCGACCCCATGATTTTGTCCATTCTGAATGGAAGCCCTCACATATGACCTTTGAAGTCAAGTCTGTAAATCCAAAATCAAGTCCATGCTTCATGATCCACCCGTTACGATCCTGACCCAATGCACCTCATCCTAGAACGAACTCAAAGTAAAGCTGCTTTGAAGGTGGCGGGACAGCCGGAGAAGGCCCAGCAATCTCGAGTTTTCGTTCGCAAAATTTTGCAAGCTGCTCTTTCTTGACAACAAGAGTCCAAAGTAGTGAGGGGGTTTATTGGGAACCTGCTGGCTTATTGTCAAAGCAAGTCTGGCACGGAGGGCTGCGTCAAACATCCCAAGATGCGGAAGAAACGCAGCGACTGTGGCAAGCACGTTTGCTGGACAGGGCTTGCGCACCTGATGCCACCAGAGGAGTACTTTCCAGGACAGTTCTGAAGCGGGAACTGCTTCGGGGTGAGCTTCATCCTAGAATGTTTGCCGCCTCGGGGATATGACAGAGGTGTCTAGGGTTCAGTGACCATCTGGCTGGGGTGTTTGGATTGGATACTGTTGATACAAGAGGTTCGTGGCAGCTCAAGCGCAGGAGAGTGAGGGTTCAAAGGCTTGTGGAATCTGGTTTGAAGTGCGCGTGAGTCTCAGTTTGCCTGAGCGCAAGCTGTTTCCGCAGAGTGAAGGAGAGCATTCCTCGTCTTCCGAATCAGGCTGGACTTGCAACGTATGTAGCTTCTTGGGAATCATGAGTTTCACGGTAGCAGGCTCTGCCCTCCAGTGCTAGCCAGCTTCGAGAACCGTTTGGCATGCCAGCATGGCCATGACTGAGTGGGCTGGAAGCACGCAGCAGTACATCGCCATATTTTGTGGGTTGTTGCAGGAATTCATCCTGGGAGCTATGAAGGCAGCACCAGCGTCCGAAGGGACCATTTTTATTTTTTGCCGCAAGAAGGTTCTTCGGCTTCACATGACAGGCCTGTTTGATAGTATTAGTCCTTAGCAATGAGCTAGTCGCGCGAGGCCAGTCTGTACTGTAGTTCATTGCCGTGTGTAAGCTGAAGCGTTGCAGAAAGAGGAAAGATTTCGAGAGGATCAGATCGTAAGCCTGCAGCTCCACCACCCTTGCGTTGTCCCTGACGTCGCCAGGAGAGCCGTCAGCCCCTGGAGGAGCTTGGAGATGGGCGGCAGTTGACTGCTTAATCCTGTTTATTCAAAGCATGGCGAAGGGTTTTTCAGAGGTCGTCTTCGAAGATGATGGTGTGATGATGGAGATGCATGGATGTGATGGAAGGTCGCCGTGAGGTATTGCATAATAGGACAGCGTACTGATGGTCTGATGGAAGGTTGTCATGAGGTCTCGGATTCAGGTCGTCGTGAAGTATCGGATGGAAGGTCGTGAGGTATCGGATAATGGGCCGGCACTATGATATACTATGACGGTCTGCTTCTACATGATCTGTCTTTCACTAAATTACGCATGTTTAAAAACCGCCACGCCTTGCCAAAATAGCGCTGGCGCTCGAAGCGTCCACGGATTCTGCGTCGTGTTGGAGCGCTGGCGGGTTGGAGCGCTGGCGCGTGCAGCGTCCTCGCAGGTTTGCGCGCAAGTGACGATTTTCTCGGTGATCGCTGCGTGTCGGAGCCCTTGCGCGTGGAGGGTTTTCGGAATTTTGCGTACAAGTGACGACCCTCTCTGTGTTCGTGGCTGGGGCATGGAGCGTCCGCGGAATTTTGGGCGGTGTTGCGCACAAGTTACAAGGCGTGCTGGCACGTGGAGCGTCCATCGAATCGACGACCCTTTCGGTGTCTGAAGCTGTCCAAGCATCAATCTCGAAACCTTCCCTCCATACTTTCCGAAGCTGTCCAAGCCTGAATTCGCACTCTTTGTAGTACAACTTTCGTACTGGAAACGCTGGTAGCGGTGGATGGATGGAACATGATGGAACGATGTAGTTTCATGTAGTTTCGATGCCTGTCTGGATGAAGGACGGGTCACGGACACGTCACTCGCTGCTCAAGACGCTTTCGGGAGAATCGGTTTCTAGTTTGTTCAGGAGGCCTTGGCCGCCTGCGTCGGCTTCGCTCAGAAGCTCCAGCGCGGCCATGGTGGCAGCGTGGCAGAGAGGCCACGAGAACTCTAAGACATGGGGTTCACACTGAGGCAAAGAATCATGCACGCCCCTTGCAGGTAAGTGCAAGATGGCCTCATGGACACTGAGCGGCATTTTGGACATGTTAGGATTCTGCAGGTCATGGTGCCACTTAAACCCCTTGAAGTTGCCACGAGCTGTGTGGGAACAGCCCAAGGCATGTTTTTCCGAGCCGTGGCGCTTTCCAGTCTGCCGAGCCCGAGTGGTCTGTCGGGTGGTCTGCTAGCCACCACGGCCTTCACACTGTTCGGGCGCCCAGGATCCAGAGAGAGAACCGGTGTGGGCTTAGAGATTTCGCAGACTTGTGATTGAGGTACAGAACTTCAGAGCCAAATTCGGGACAAAGCTTGACCTGGCAGGCGTTTGGGGGGCCTGGAGTTATTGCCTTGAGCCAATGGGCTCAGGTCGACAAAGCCCAGGTTGAGGATTTACACTGCACTAGAATTGGATCGTTGCAAGCTGCCAGCTTGTTAAAACACCTCCATTATTGCAACTATGGTGGGTGGCTGGCAGAAATAAGCTTTTGCAACATGAGCTCTGTGTCAGGCCTTGCCGAGACCAGAATTTCCAGATTCGGTGGCAATCTGCGACGCTTCGTCTGGCAGTCGCCCTGCTGAGAGTTCCCTGAGAAGACGAGAGGCAGAAACTTTGGCTCAATCCACGAAATGCGAGCCTTCCCAGAAGCACTCTTTCGCTCATTGCTCTATTTCTGATGCTGGAAGTCTATCGCGTTCCTCCTTATGTGGCCTGTAAAGCTTGTCAAGCTGCCTCAGCTATGCAGTAGAACATGCAGAACAAGTTGGCTTCGTGACTGTCGCCTACAACGAACCACAGGCTGCCATTGCTACCACAAGCCAGGTCATTGTAGCTCCATCCTGGTATACCGGTTGCTGAAGTCTTAGGAGGTATCATGGACACAACCTCCTCGCAATATTTCCTGCTGTTTTTTCACTGTGGCTCACCTTCTTCAGGCGCTTTGTTCTGTTCATCGATGCGCTGCTACTCAGCCATGGGTGGGGGCTGTCCTTGAAAAAATGTGTTGAGCTGAGGTACGGCATTCCTGAGGTATTCCGTGATGTCTCACACGCTCGTCTGGTTCTCGGTTTCGCACTGCGCCTGCAGCGTGCTCTTTCGGGCTCCTCCCTGAATGCTGTTTGGGCCCGACCTTCGGCTTGTGCTGGTTGGTGGCCCCAGCTCTCAGGACAACTTGGGACAGGGTGCTTCAGACGATGGATGACAGTGGTTTGGTCTGACCCGGCAGCTGAATACAGCCCTGGGGACTTCTGTGCATATTGGGCATGCTGCACAATTCGGAATCCCCACATTCGTGTCATCGTGATGAGACCAGGCTAATTGGAAGCCGGCTCTTGCCCCTGTTGTGATAGGCATTGTCACATTGCTGTGCCTGCTCGCCATCGCCACATCGAATGCGTTGTGCCAGGCGTATCCACCAAGTTCAGACGGCTGCTCTGAATCCTGGTCAGGGGTCCATGCCATGTTGTGCTTTCCAAGCTCTTCCTATGGGGCTGCAAGGCCACACACATCCAGATTCCAGCCAGCTGCAGCACGGTCAGGGACAGGCCAACATTTGCTGCAACATATGCTACACTGCTACACTACTGTTACACTTGCAGCAGCTGAACTCGCCATGCCACCCTTGCGTGGTGCTACTATCTACTTCGCATCGCAATAAGAATAGATGACTGTCACAATCCCCTCTATAGTACTATAGGTGCTAACATTCGCTGCGCTTTCAGTGCCATCCTTGACAGGCAAGTGTCAACTAGGAGACAAGCACAGGGAGCACGCACCAGAGGGCAGAGCACGGGTTGCCAGGATGATCTCTTTGTACAGACCGCGGCTACTCCTTGCTAAGGGCAAAGAGGGCCGTACTACAGCTGCTATGATGTTGTTGCCTCTTCTCAGCGTCCTATTGCGATCACACGCACGAGCACCTGTGCCCCAAGAAAGACAGAGACAGATTTGGGACTTGTTCGAACAAGAGAGTGGAAGATCAGCCGAGAACAAGGTGACGCCCTGCAAAATGGTTCTACTCCGTGCCTGATGCTCGCGCTGAGGTGCGTCTTTTCTGATCCTGCTACCAGCCTGGCAAGCAAGCATCAGAAGTCAGAAGTTACAGACAGTTTCTAGAGACGTTGCAGGTTTAGATTTTCAGATGGTCCAGGAAAAGAGTACGGACACAGAGCGCATGCTTGCAGGCAGGAACCCATCCTCTCTTTCTGGCCCTTTGGTTTCCCGGTGTCCTGGCAAGTTTCAGCTATGTTATCAAATTATACAAAGCTTCAAAGTTGTTTTCCATGCTAGGCCAAGAAGGCTGCTTGTTCACGCGAGCATAGAAATTCTTTCCAGTTTCCACTCAAACGGAAAGAATGCTGCAGGGGTGTATAAGACATGTTGCTCAGCTGACGTGAGCTGCAACATGTGTGTGATTGTTGCTGCCCATCATGATTGCTAGAATCAGTGACGATGCTATAGGAAGGACTAGCTTGGCTAATGCTTTGTCTGACACTATGGGGTACATCATCCAGGGGATTATACGTTGAGGGAGGCATCCTACAAAGATAGATCAAATCAAGCTCCGAAACACCATCAGCCCTCAGTACAACGCCTTACCTGTCCTGGCCTCAGCACCCTGACCCTCACACCCAACCCTGAAGCTACTTCTGAAGACTAGGGAAGGGCTGGGGTCAAACCCTGCAGGCACCAAGCCGTGCAGCTTCTTCTCACTTGAGCCATGCATTCGGTTCGCAGAGTAGCTGCGTGTCATCCCTTGTGCAGGGGTCATGCATCTCGGTACACTTCTCGGATTTGTGCAGGGAACAATCACA